CTCTGGATCCTATGAAATCTGTCTTCTTCCATAGTATTAGTTACTGATGTCCATGCTTAATTTTATTATTTATTTTATTCTTGCTTTATTTTAGAACCTGACTTCTGGGGAATTGCCCCCTTGTCTATGTATCTTAGTGGTCAGACAATGATTCAACAAAGGATTTGCTCAAATACTCTAAGTCAACAAAGTTGTTGTCCTTTGCCAAAGGATCTGCACATCTTCCCAGATTTTTCTTTCCCCTGGACCCTTTTATGACTCCTCTGCATATGCATGAAGGCTCAGTTAACCATTATCTTAGGGTGAAGGAGTCACTGGCCCTTGAAATTCACATGCCACCTATATAGTAACTTTCACAGATAATGCTGCTAGGCATGTACAACACCAAGCACAACAGGTAAGGTACTATTATTCCTCACAACCTTCCTCACCCTGGAAGACCCTCTACAATAACAAAGCCTGGAAGGGGGAAAGGGTAGAGTGGGATGGAAGCAGCTATAGGCATGAATACTACAGATTTCCAGTGTTGTTGTGCCAAGTTTAACATTAGTTTCTCAAGTTTAAACACTTTTCAGATTGTTGCATGCCTTGGGTTGAGTTCCAGAGCACTATAATAGTTGTTTTCACCTGCTTTGCAGATGGACTTAGCGCTAAGTCACGAACTCCCATCATATATATATATATTTTTTTTTTGAGACAGTGCCTTGCTCTGTTACCCAGACTGGAGTGCAGTGATGTGATGGTAGCTTACTGCTGCCTCAAACTCCTGGGCTCAAGCAATCTGCCCACCTCAGCCTCTTAAGTAGCTATAATTACAGACATATGCCATCACACATGGCTAATGTTTTTTATTTTTTGTAGAAGTGAGGTCTCACTATCTTGCTCAGGCTTGTCTTGAACTCCTGGTGTCAACAGGCGTAAGCCACCAAGCCTGGCCAATTACAATAATTCTTCAGTATTTATTCCAGTTTCTCTTCCACTACTATAGTTTTATAACCTATGTTGCAAGTCCTACTTACTCTTCTACATCTACTGCAATATTTCTCACTCCTTAAGACCCAACCTATGCTGCTCTTTCTCCATTAGGCTTTCTCTCATTAATCCATGCACACTAATCTCTCCCTTCTCTGAATTCCTATCAAACATCAATATTAAATAATTATTTTGCATACATTGTGCTTTTTCTATTCAGCCAAGTCTTTGGGGAAAGAAATTGGGGTTTCATGATTTTCTGTCCTTATCTTATACCTGGCAAAGTGTTGAATACACAGTAAATTCTCAAATGCTTTATGTCTACTTCTATCCAAAAATTAACTCTTAAAGAAATTTGCCTTGTAGCCCATGAAGTCAAATCATACCCCTAAGAAGCAATAATCAAGACTCTATGTCGGTATCAATCTCTGGTGTTCAAAAAAAAAAAAAAAGACTCTATGATTTAACCATGTTATATCATTAATACATTCTGTTCTTCTCCAGTGCCCCCAGTGCCCCACAATCTAAAGTGCACAGTATGAGCAGAAAGCCTGTGGCAGAGGCTGCTAGTGGCCAACTTAATATCCATTTGATCATCTTCCTTTACTAACAAAACCATAGTCACTTCCCAGCTTTCCTTGCAGTGAGGAGTTCAATTTGAGGAGACACACAAACTGAAAAGACAGTAGCCATCTTGAGAAAGAAAAAGGGGTCACATTATAAGGATGTCTAAGCTAGAACAAACCTAGGTCACGGATGACATCACCGAAACATTCTACTAGCCCTGGACTTCCTATCCATAGGCTTCTAATTACATGATTTGTGTAGGCCATGGTAACTTTATGAGCAGTTGAACATAATTCCGAATTGGAATTATGTAATGAAAAGGTCACTATAAAGCTGACAATTAATTCGTTATAAACCATTGAGTATTATTTCCATTTAACATATGGAGAAAGTAAAGAAAACATCTAGTTTTATGATTAATAACAATTCATCACCTTAGTCCACAGCCCTCTCATTGTCAAAAATGCAACCAGCATGGAAATAAGAGCATGCTTGCTTGAGTTTGAATCACTAGCTCCACTGTGTGAAGTAGTGCCTCAGTTATTTCTAGACTGCAAAATAGGAATAAGAATAGTATTTTTTTCATAGTATTATCGTAAGGAATAAAAGAGAAAACTCACGCAACACCTACAAAGCAGTGTCAAGCACATGCTACAGCATCAATAAATGTTGGTTACTATTAATAATAATAATTTTGTATCACATAATAAAAATAAGTTATTATTATTACCACCTAATAGTAACTTCTAATCTGCTGTAAAAAGGCCATCACATAAAAGTGACTATATTAGAAACACATAAACTAAAAAACATTTTCTCAATGATGAGACTATATTCTAATCTAATATTTGTTTTCTTTTGGCTCCAGCTATCACCCTGCATATGAAAAAATAGAAGAGAAATAATTAGTTTAGTGACTGAGTCACTAACTATGAAAACCCTAAATATGTTTTACTTCCTTTTTCTTCCCTCTTATGAGAGCTTAGTCTTATGGTTACAAAGATTTTAAAACATCAAAGTTTTCCCTCTGGAATAATACAAATTTGTAAGAGGTAATGCAAAGAATTTTTTAAATTTCCTTACCCAGAAGATCCAATGCTCTTACAAACACCAAGGAGGGGTCTTTTTTCAGCAAAGTTATCACATTTTTGAGCACCTGATAGGGAGCATAAAACAAACTGTAAACTTTGAGAAACATTCTTGTATACTTTCTGTTATTTTTACGATTTCAAAATACTTACAACTGAGAAGATAGAAAAGCATTCATTATAAATTGACAAACTTTATACACTGACTGACCAAAAAATAGAAAAGCTAAATAAACCAACATCATTTAAAAAATTGAACCAGCATTTTTAAAAATTTTTATAAATTGGCATCACTGTCAATCTTATACACATTCTCCATGAGATCAGAAAACCACCCCACACGCCACCAACTAATTATATGAAACTAGTATCATCCTGATATCAAAACTAAGTAAAGGTAGCTCAGGACAGGAAAATTATAAAATTTTACACCATTCTCATTGATATACATAAATGCAAAAATCCCAAATAAAATATTAATACATCAAATAGCAATATATTAGAAAAAAATAAAATCTCATAACTAAATTAGATTTACCCAATAGTTTAACATTATAACATCTATTAATGTAATTCATCACATTAACATTTTAACAGACAGAAAAAGCATTCAGTTAGATTCTGTACCTAATCATAATAAGAACAAAAAGGTAACAAAAATATGTTTTTTAATCCAAAAATGATAATCTACAAAAGACCTACAGCAAATAGTACAGGTAATGGTTTCGAGTATTCCCATTAAAATCAGTAATTAAAAAAGGATACCCAGTGTTGTTGCTTCCATTCACCCCTATGGTGTAAGTTCTAGTCAACATAATAATAATAAATGAACTGAACAATATTATAGGATATGAACCTAATATAATATCAACAAACAAGCAGAAAAAATAAAGTCAGTCAGTTTTTGTACAGAATGGCTCTGAACCATATGAAAACATGGTAAACCTCATACATGACAGAAATTCCTTAAAACTGTATTGAGAATGGCATTATTGGAGTTCAGGATAAGCCACCCCCAAAATATGTATCTTTGGCCTATTGATTATTTTGAGCTAAAGGCACCTGAAAAACAGTAGATTCAAGAAGGGCACTCTGACCTGCCCTTTCATTCCAATAAGCAGGAAAGACAGACACCTTATCAAAGATGACCTTCCTATATAGGAGGAAAGAAACATTCTAATCACCAGAGATAGAAAGTCAAGGATGAGAAAAATCTGTACAAACTTTGTTAAACTAACCCTTATCTTCCTAGATACTTTTCCATAAATGCCACTCTTTGTTCAACCAAGTATATAAGCACTTAGGCCTAGGCACTTCCTTTGAGTCTTCATTTTTCTGTGGGGACAGACATGCACATGTAAAATTTTATTAAATAAAATTTGTATGATTTTCTCCTGTTAATGTTTTATGTCAGCTTAATTCTTAAGCCCAGCCAGAGAACCTGAAAGGTTAGACGAGAAATTATTCCTCTCCTACAATACTATGGCTATATTTTTAAGATACCTTATCTTTTATAAACAAGTAATAAAATATTAACCAATAAACTGATAAGATATCTGGGACATGTTTCAAAATAATCTGGAGGGAGGGGAATGAATGTTAATAAAACAAGATTACCCATAAAATAATAAAGGATGGGTTCTTAGGGATCATTATACTACTCACACTACTTTTGAATAAGAAATTTTCCACTTAAAAAGACTTAACGATGTTGACATACATTGACATTTACCTAAGAGCTTCTCAAAAAAATCCAAAAGCTTGATAAAATTCTCTCACTGTATTAATCAAAATTGAAATACAAATATCCTCTAATCCAAAAAATCACAAGTAGGATTTTGTCCTACACAATTCACGCTCAGAAATGAGAAATAACTGTAAATAAGATTATTCACTACAGCACTGTTTATAATAAAAGTAAAACACGAAAATTTTAAGAATATAATGAATATTTCCTACAGCTGCAAAAAAAGAACTGTTCTATGAAAACACAGAATGAGACAGAAGCTACAAATGGAAAAAAGGAATATATACAACAATGGTAAGATACAGAATTATATACCATCTTTTTGTATAGAGAGGAAAAAAGGATTAAATAAGCCCCTTCGTATATAAACATACATACAAAGGCAATAATATACATACATACATATACAAACTCCATAAGGATAAAAACTCTTAATAATTACTTATGGGAGGGAAAATGGAAAAAGTGAACAAAACACCTATTTTACAAAGAAGAATTGATACCCATACTGCAGAAATTATTTCATAACATCAAGAAGGAAGGAATCCTCCCCAACTCATTCTATTAATACAAAGCCAGTATCACCTTGATACCAAAGCCAGGAAAGGACACAACAAAGAAAACCACAGACCCATATCTCTTATAAACATAAAAATTCCCAATAAAATTCCAGAAAACCAAATTCAGCTGCACATCAAAAAAATAATTCACCATAACCAAGTGGGCTTTATCCCAGGAATGCAAAGATGGTTCAACATATGTAAATCCATAAATATGATTAATCACATAAACAGAAGTAAAAACAATATAATCATCTCAATAGATGCAGAAAAAGCATTTGGCAAAATTCAGCACCCTTTTATGATAAGAGCTCTTAACAAAATAGGAAAAGATGGAACATACCTCAAAATTATAAATACCACATACAACAAACCCACAGCCGAGATCATACCGAACTGGGAAAAACTGAAAGCATTCCTGCTTAGAACTGGACTAGACAAGGTTGCCCACTGTCACGACTTCTATTCAACATAGTGCTGGAAGCCCTAGCCAGAGCAATCAGGCAAGAGAAAAAAATCAAAGGTATCCAAATGGAGAAAGAAGAAAAAAGGAAATAAACAATAGAGCAAAAAGACAACCTACAGAATGGGAGAAAATATCTGAATGCTATGCATCCAATAGAGGGCTAATAACCAGAATCTACAAAGAACTCAAGGAAATCAAACAACCCCATAAAAAAGTGGGCAAAAGACATGAACAGAAGCTTTTCAAAAGAAGACAGACTAATGGCCTATAAACATATGAAAAAATGCTCAATGTCTCTAATCATCAGGGAAATGCAAATCAAAGCCACAATGAGATATTACCTAATTTCAGTGAAAATGACTTTTATCAAAAAGTTCCAAAACAACAGATGCCAGTGTGGATGCAGAGAGAAAGGAACATTTATACACTGTTGGTGGGACTGCAAACTAGTACGACCTCTAATGGAAAGTAGTATGCAGATACCTCAAAGAACTAAAAGTAGACCTACCATTTGATCCAGCAATCTCACTATCGGGTATTTACCCAATGGACAAAAAGCCATCTTATCAAAGACACTTGCACAATGTTTATTGCAGCATAATTCACAATCGCAAAGATGCAGAATCAACCTAAGTGTCCATCAATACATGAGTAGATTAATAAAATGTGGTATATGTACTCCATGGAGTACTGCTCAGTCATAAAAAAATGGTGAACTAATACCTTTTGTAACAACCTGGATGTAGAGGGACACCATTCTCCTAAGGGAAGTATTGCAAGAATGGAAAAACAAACACCAGATGTACTCACTTATTAAATTGGAATTAATTGATCAACACTCACGTGCACATATGGAAGCAAAACTCAATGGAAATCAAGCAGGTGGGAAGGGGGAGGAAGGGATGGGTAAATTCACACCTAATGGGGACAATGCACACTATCTGGTGATGGACACATTTATAATTTTGACTCAAACTGTACAAAAGCAATTCATGTAGCCAAAACATTTGTACCCCCATAATATTCTGAAATTTAAAAAAAAAAAGAACTCTTGAGATTTTTTTTAGGGCAAAAAATAAAATTTAAAAATTTTTAAAATACATTCAATATTGAAGCAGTCCTTCAATCCTCCATGTCCCTTCTCCCATTGCACTTCCACAACACTAGCACCAGAACTTTATCCTTTAGGCAGAAGCCTATTAGTCTTCTCTGGGAAATATAACAAGTCCATGAGAAAATACTAAAATATACTATCAATGAGAGGACTCCAACAAACAAACAGTACAATCAAAGCACCCCACAATAAAATTTAAAGTTCAGAAACACCTATGTAGCACTTTCAATTAGCTTTTCAGTTTGCCACTGACAATAATGTGCAGACAGTCAAGGATTAATAGTCATCTGGGAAAGTGCCTGACACTCTACAAGAAGAAAACATCAAAATAAAAATACTATCATTAGTAATTTCCATGATATAAGAGAAGAGGTTGCTGGCATTGAACAATATAAGAATATAATAGAAAATGGAGGCTTAGAGAATAGAAGATAGCTTTTAGAAATTAAAAAAGAAGGTATATATTATTTAAAAACTCAACACAAGCATCAGAGGTAAAATTAAGAAAATTTCCCAGAGGAAAGAGCAAAAACTCAAAAGAGAGGAAAACATCACTTTTACACGCACGCGCACACACACACACACACACACACACACACACACACACAGGAAATCTTAGAGGAACAACCTCAAGGATCCAATTATAGATAACAGAAATTCCAAACAGAAAGAACAGAGAAGATAGGAGAAAATCATCCATAAAATAATTCTAAACATTTCCCCAGAACAAAGACAGGCACAGTGGCTGACACTTGTAATCCCAGCATTTCAGGGAGGCAAGACAGGAGGATCACTTGAGGCCAGGAGTTTGAAACCAGCCTGAGCAACATATTGAGACTCCATCTCTAAAAAAAAAAAACTAAAAATCAGCCGGGAATGGTGGCACACACCTGTAGAATACCTATAGTCCTAGCTACTTGGGAGGTTGAGCCAGGAGGATTGCTTAAATCCAGGAGGATGAGGTTGCAGTGAGCTATAATGGTGCCACTGCACTCCAGTCTAGAAGATAGAGGAAGACCCCCCCCCTTTTTTAAAAAAAAAAAAAAAAAAAATCCCCCAGAATAAAAGAGTATGAGTTCATCAGCATCTTCAGGTTCTAGGACAATGGATTAAACAGACTGATAACCAGAGTACATCATTTAAAGACAGCAGGAACAAAAATAAGCTTCTACAAACCTCCA